AGCGTCGATGTCTGTCCAGTGGATCTTCCAGCGTTTCATCGTCATCATCATCAGTGATAGACGGCATACATCCACTGTCACGTATCCCACCGGAACTAGACAATGTTGCCGCTGAAATTGTATCCGTCTCTACGTCAGCCATAGCCTCGACACCAGCAGATAATGTAGACGAAGTTGGATCGTCACTTTCTGTAGTAGAAAACGGAAAACAATGCACAATTGTATCACTTGTGTTTTGATTTGGAATTCGAGGTTAGATTAGCAAATATTCATTTCATAGGGTTTCCCTATGAGTAGGCTACTGAAAATAATAACCGGGATGGTGTAGTCATACCGCCGTAGATTAAAAAATATCTGCACAGCTGGTTGGATGAACTGTCAAAGATCGCTCGAGTTAGTATGACCAGGAAATGGGTTCTTGCAACATAAAAGAGGGTTCCAAGGAGGACACAGGAGCTCGTACAGTGTGTTGTTGATAGTCTATTGACACAGACAGAAAAAGCGTAATGAAATAGTCCCCAGTTTGGATACATAAATCACTTGTTTTTTATATGCTGCCTGTTCCTGTCAGGATCTAGCACATCACCGTTCGTCATTTTGGAGTACTCGTTAGGAGACGGGAGTCCTTCGTTTGGTTCTGTCGTCGGTCCATCAATATTCTGAGGATCATAATAGTCTGATGAAGGCTTGCGAAAAGATACCGATAGAAAACCCGGCAGTCTTACACCGATGAGAACACTTGAAAACTTGGAGGTGGATGGGTCCCCAATATCGGAACTTGAGGATGAAAGAATGAAGCTCATCGTCAACACTGAAAAGTTTTAGTACTAGCCAATTTCATTGTCGCCAAAATCAACAATCACCTTTTCTGTTCGATTAGGACCTTAGGTGGCAAGTCAGTTATTGGGTATCCTGTGTCCTTAAAAACAGAACAGTAGGTCATTCCAACTAATGAAAATCATCCGGTCTCGCGATATTTTCACTCGGACACTCGGGCGGTGGTGGCCGAGTTGTGAAGATTACCAAATTATGGCCACGGATGAACCCACCACCACCACCACCACCTAAAGTCCTTCATTCTGTGCTATGTGGCACACCTTTGATTGTCTGCTTTACCTGTTCTGAAAATTGTATATTCAACTGAAGCAGATACAAAGGAAAAAATAAAGTGTGCTGGAAAAATTGATTGTGATGAATGTGTTGGAAAACATAATAGGGCACGAAAAGATTAATCAGTTCTACTTTTGTTATCTGATTAGTCTTACCTCTTGTGTCAGACTCCGGGGTGCCGTTTTTCGGTTGCGTATCCAACCTGCTCAGAGTGGCGGTGGTGGTCACCAACTTTTCTGCACTGGGACGTAATGTATCCGCCTTACTTGAGGCTTCATCTTGGGTGAACGCCTCTTCATTTTCGTCTAACTGGGATGCCTGCTCACACCCGATCGAGACACGTTCTTCCTCATCATTGTTGACCTCATTTTCATCACCTACTACCGCGGGGATACAGTCTGCCAGCGGTTCGCTGTAGTCCAACTCGCTTTGTTCAGCGCTGTCCGTTTCCGCACGATCTTCGTCTGACATGTACTCCAAAGGTGTCGTTCCAGAACGAACGGGCAACTCCGCAGTGGTCTCAGCCTCATCTTGTGCGCTACTGCTCGCAGCTGTCATCTGTCATCGTTTGGATGGGGTAGGAATAGAGAATTATCGATAGGGTGAAATTGAGAGCGTTGGAATTCGCATATATAGAGGGTTTTCTTATCTGCGAAGTTCACTAGAGGAATCAATCGCGTAATCAAACTAAACGGTTGGATTATACTGTCTATTTTCATTGCTATCGTTGTTAACAATTTATTTCACTGAATATAGGAGGGACAGTCAATGTGCAGAGAAAAAGCCACAACCAATGAAAAGATGCCTTGGTGACGGCAGGTAGCAATGATACGGTTGTAAGTCACCAAGTCTGATATGACGGAGAGCCAGTACCCCGGCGTGATAGAAGCCGATCGGAGCTCATGCATGAATTGTGCGAATAGGAATTCCGATCTTTGAACGAGTCGTGCTGGTGAAATGGTTCAAGTCACAGGGACTGGGGTGTTTTGGGACCCAAATTGGTTCAAGATTCAGGCTCTAATAGCGCCATCCAATTCTAATGGTAGGCGCGTGGTGGGGCGGGGACGGGCTTCGAAACCATCGGAATCAGTCCATGAAGTCCGCATCTCCGCGCACGCCCTGCGCCAGTTCCTAAGTAATATCTGGTCGAAAGTTCCAATGTTTCTGTTGCTTACCCCACACATTGTAGTGGTGTATTAGCTAGTGAATGTATATACCCAAAACCGAGTTTGTTTACTGCTTCAATTTTCTTACGATGCGAATTTTTTTCGGGGTGAAGGGGAGGGGGAACTAAACAATATATTTATATATATTTAACCTCGGCTTGATAACAAGCTCGATGCCAACGCCACAAAAATATTAACAATAACAATAACGAGGGGGTGGGGGTGGGGGTGGGATACAGAGTATAGGGAAAGAGACGTAACTGACAGAATAGAAGATTATGAATAAATGGAATAACAATTTTTTTGTTTCACCGCAAATCTTTTGAATTTTTTTTTGTTTTGTTTTTTATTTTACGGGGCACAAGATTTCGACAGACAGCATTCGCGCCACTGACTTCTATTCTAGGTCATATCTCTCAGCGTATCTAAGCAATGACAATCTTCATCCTTTTGGCCCCAACCTGGAAGGCGGGCTGCACCAACCGAAGCCAAAGCTGAAGCTAACTTCTTCGTAACTCTACGCCATGTCATGGTCTGACCACCGCGCCACTTCTTCCAGCCTTGCCGGGCACGTGCAAAGGGAGCACGGAAAGGTAATCGACGGGCAGGCATACGCAAAACGTGACCAAGCCATCGAAGGCGGTGTAGAGCGATTACTTCTGTCAGGGAACGACTATCCACACCCAACACGCGACGACGGACCTCGTCATTGCTCACCCGATGTTCCCACCAGACACGAGCAATGCTTCGGAGACATCTGTGATCGAATACAGAAAGTCGATTAGCATCCTCAACGCAGAGAGGCCAGGTCTCGCAACCGTAAAGCAGAACACTACGAAATGCGGCAATGTACACCCTACCCTTAAAAGGGACAGTCGGATGTCATGGCGGTGCCACAGGTGTCGTAGGTTGGCGAAAGCTGCTCTAGCTTTCGCTATTCGTGATGTGATCTCGTCCCCAACACCACCACCAGCTGCGATCAAGCTCCCGAGGTACTTAAAGCTCTCAACTACTTCCAGCTAATCACCACGGATGGTGAATGCAGATACAGGCTCCTGCCAGTTTTGAACAAGCACTTTGCACTTGGAAGGTGCAAAGCACATGCCATACCTGGATACCTCGATCGGCAAGCGGTTCAAAGCGTCTTGGACTGCCTGTAGCTTGCCACCCAGCAAGGCGATATCATCGGCACACTCTGAGTCAAGGACTCTGTTCCTTGGAAGGAGTTCGACTACAACGTTTGCTAGACCGGACAAAGCATTCTGTAGAACATCCTCAATGACAAAGTTGAAAAGGGACGGGGATATAGGGCAACTTGCCGAACTCCACTGGAGACGGCGAAGGGTGGCAAAAGCTGGTCATAGGCCCTAACCCGACCTGAGGTATGAAGATACAACTCTTTGAGGATCGACACATATTTCCCTGGTACTCCATTCCTCAACAAACAGTTCCATAGTGCAGTCTGGGGGAACAAAACGAAAAGGGAGATTTGAATAAATCCAACTGAACGAAGAAGGCGCGGCGAAATTAAAGGAGCCCCAATGAATCTCACTGACTAGCCAGTGGAAACGGTGGTGGTCAAGCGATGAAGCCCCAATAATTTCACTCTGAAGGTCTTGTGCTCGAATAACACCGCCACAATCGCCGCCACCGCCACCGAAAAACTTTTTCACAGTTCTGTGTCTCATGACAGCTTTGAGGTTCGGTGCTTTTTCCTTTATGAAAATTGTCTATATAAAGAATACTATTCAATGAAAAGAACGTAGAAACGTATTTGTACATTGGGCCTCCCCCTTCCCTCCTTTCGTGGTTCTTCCAGAGAGAGGACATTCCCGTTTTGGGGAACACGGCCATCAATTTGTATGCATCATTACAGGCAGAGACAGAAAATGCATTCGGTCTGGTACTAAGGGTAACTCATAGATCCCGCTTTTCCCAAGTATCAAATGTCACACTGTAGAACCCGATCTACACGTTAGGTGTTCCTCGTGCTTGTTTGCAAAACAGCCATCAAAAGCGTGGCGATTGCGGAATGGCTTGTCACGTGTAGTCAAACTGGTGATGTTGCTGCTAGGCCCACGTTATTCACCTGATGTAATATTCATATCAAGTCCATTGAGCTCCCAAATGTCACTAGGTCGTCATAGAACGGTTGATGGGAGGGGGGGTAGATTCCTGAGTATCAAAGATGTGCACAGAAATGGATTTTTCAAGTGAAAAGTATTGCATTCAGCGGCGAATAAAAGTGCACATTGTCATGAACAAGCAATAGGACCGACCACCATCGGACGTGATTGGAAACAAGGAATATCCATTCAATGATCGGAGGAAATGACATGAGCATCGTAGGCAGTGAGCGATATGCTATTTTCACATCTGCTACTGCAAACCTTTTGGGGCCAAATAAGCGAAGTGGCCAGATTCATTGATGATAGCTGCACAAAGTGTCAAACAAGTTTCTCGATGGCAGAATGTTCCCGTGCGTAAATGGTGTGATTTTGTTCAGGTGAAAATCTGTGCTGGTACCTAGTGTAAACTGCGTGTCCAAATAAGAAACAAAACAAGATAATCTAATTGCATTGGTAAAACAAAAACACTGAAAACGATAGACAATGAAGTTCTCCTGTATAATTCAATCAAACAGGAATCCTTTTGAAGATAGATAGATGTTGACACTCTTCATGGATTTTTCTAAACTGTTAGTGCCATTTCCTGTATGCTACCATCGCCTCCCCTCCCCTTGCAGGTGAGCAAATGTTCTCTCTGAGCTAACCATTTCAGTCTGTTCGGAAGGTGAGAATGAGGAACAGGGGTGATGAAGAACTATTTTTATTTTCATTATCATTCTGTCCTATTCACGTTTTTCGAAATTTCAGATATAATCGGTCAGACTTGATAGAAAAAAACAGAAGGATTGAAAATAGTATTGAAAGATTATACTGACAATATCGAAAGCAAAACAAACCTGTTTGTACTGTCTAACAGCATGCACCAATTTGGACGCCAATAATTCAATCCGATCCGCAAATGCTCGTTCAGATTCCGTGACTGTTCTCGACTTGGACATGCTTATCGATCGGGCCGTTCGGCCACGTTTGGATCGACGTAAATCGTGCACTTTCATCACGACCGTGGGTCGTGCACCGCTACCGGGCAGCGGAGGTGGGGCTTCAAACTGAAGCAAATTAGGAGTGGATAAGGTGAGCGAGCCCACATTAGTCGGATTCGGCTCGGATGGACGACGATAGTCGGCCGCCACAGACTGACCCGGTCCAGCTGGTGGAGTGGACGATTTGACAGCGGATTCCTTGACCGAGGTCGAGTCGGAACCCGCGGTCCAGGACAAGGAACTTTGCCGTTTCATATTGAATGAACCACTACGTTTCGGGATTTGGGGTGATCGGCCACCTGTCGTCTCTGGGCCAGTGCTTTCCACATCTTCCCGATCGGCTTCTAGCGGCACAAGGCTGCTTCCCCGACGTTGGTGGTAGGTCTGAGCCACGGTACGAGACAAACAACCTAGCCACTCTCGGGTAAGATCAAACAGAAGCATGACAAGGTCGTCCATATTATTAACCTGTAGGCAAAAGAAAACAGGAAGAGAAGGAATGAAGAGGGTCGGATGATGTGAAGACTGTGGGAGATACTTTCACCCTTGGAGTATTAAAAGAATCTCATTCAGTCACCGACACTTATACTTGCACCCAAGGGCTTTGCTACCCGGACAGTAATCCGTTCGCATATCCTACGTTAGTCAACATTTGGATGCCCAGTTCGATATAATTAACAAATGGGGAACAATAAACACAATGGATTTGCCTTTATGATTATTGATTTTCATATCTACATCAACGAAAAAAACACTATTGTTTTTTTAAAGAGCTGTCTGTGGTATGCTTGACTGGGTTCTTCCGAAAACGAGTCGGATCGTCTGTCTGGTTTCGCTGATTGCGCCTTTTGATAGTCTATACTTTCGGCTTCTGGTCACAGAAGTTAAAACAACTGTTTCCTCAGAGTGAGGGTATTTTTCTAACACAGTGCGACAAAGTGGGCTAATTAGTTTGAGGAGAAATTTTTTACCAGTGTTGTATCGAAATTCTGAAAACTCAACCCCGGAGGACCATGAGTGTAATGAACAGCGAGAACAATATATACCGTCTTCCAAGGGCTCACGGTGCAGCTGACTGAACAGCTCCCGCCACCCACCCAGCCCCCTCCCCTCCCCTCAAGCAAACACACACACAACCTAACTGCAAGGCCCCCCACCGATACTAAGTTATGAATCTGCGTTAAGGAACTAAAACACAAAGACGGTCTGCTGAAACGTTTGCAGTCTTGTCCAGGGCACGATCGTTAACTCACTTTTGGTTTTTCGGCTGCGTCCCCTCCGCTTTCTGTATCTCCTTCAACCATCGATGATTTCGTTGGCGCTTGTTGCGAGTGAAGGTGTGATTCCGGTGGATCTAGACCGGATTCGAGCAGCACGGGACGAATTTGTTCAATCAATCGGTTGATTTGATCTGTTCAATGGAAATTTTATGACAGCTGGTTAGTTTCTTTTAGAGAAAACTCAGATAATTATCATTAGCAAGGATCAAGGTCCTGTTTTTGATCAGGGGCTATTCAGTTCTAACATCATAATCAGGCTATCACTGAAATGAAATACTTGAGTAATCAGCTGGCTACTCAATTTTTCAGGCTTTTTAATGGGCCAGTTTGAAAACTGAAAACTGGCGGGAAACAACAAGGGTTGATGACAAAATTGAACTTACTAATGGTCATGTGTAGACGGTCCACTGGTGAGACCAGATCATCAATGGATCCGGCTGAATCACTCGTGTCTAGCAGCGGCCCAGCCGCAGCAGCAGCTGCTGCTGCCGATGATCTGGCCTTGTGGTGAGACCCAACACCACGTAATCTGACGGACCTCGGTGATCCGGACGACGTGAACAAACCGGAATCAGGTTCGTGTGAGAGTGAACGAGAATCGGGAGACAATTTTCGAATAACTCTGCGTGGCGAAATGGTGCCAGCGTTGGATTCAACCGAGGGACCACGAGGTGAGGGAGGCGGAACTGCTGCTGCCGCCGCGGCAGTGGCACTTGTTGTAGTTGTTGTCATTGTTGCCGCCGCGCCATTCGCCATCGAGGCCACTGCACTTGTAGCACCCGTACCCGGTCTGTGTGCCAGACTGGAAGAAGCCATTCGTTGGGCACGTTGTTGCTGGTTGTGTTGTTGTTGTTGCAGTGAGGCAGCGCGATGTGCAGTGATTACGGTATTCTCACGCAACAGATTGAACCATCTACGATTGTGATCAGGTGGGAGGTGATCGGGGTTGAGTAAAAAACAAACGGGGGGCGAGGAATCGAGAGATGAATGAACTGGTTTGACATGCACCGAAACTGCTATTTTATATCGTCGAGTCACATTCTGGATGGTAGAATTGTACGTAGAAAGGGCTAGCGACCACCACTGAAATATTGGAAATGGTTGATAGCAATCCACCGGACCGCAGTGTTCTCATACTATTAGTCATAATCCGTGTTTTGGGTCAGGGATATAAAGCTTTTTTTGACACAATGCACCTTATTCTGAACGACTTACTACTTCAATATCATTATGAGTAGAATATTTACACACCGATCAAGTAAAGTTAAAATTAGCCAAAGTGTGGTTGTTTTCAATCCCAACCAACAACTTAGTGTCTACTCATTCACAAATAAACTTCTGGATAGCTTGTACACTCCAATATCGGTTATACTTTTGGCCTCAATGCGCAGAAGAAAGCTGCAATCCATTGAATCGAGTCATCTGCGAATACGAGACGGTCCAGATCTGGTGAAAGCGCATTCCTGCTCCCATCCCTCATCCACCCTTGCGGTACATGTGCCGGAAAAGTGCCCGCAAAGTGAACCGGTTGTTTATACCCCGAAGTGCAGAAAAATGAGCCCGGACAATCATATATGCAACATGCAGCGGAATAAATTCTCTCCATCCCTCACAACCTGTTGGTAAATTTTGCTTATCAGGATGGAACAGCCATGTTACCTCCCTTATGTAATACGATAGCTTCGGTCTGTTATGCTGTAATGATTGAGTAACTGGGCCTTAAGAGTAAATGAAACCAGTCTTCCCAATAGTAACAGGGTTACTGGTGTTCTGCGCACTTGCATTTATGCACACACATACACCCATACATACATACATACATTCATCGTCAGTTTTGGCAATGAGCTGTAAGTGTTGTTTGTACGCGCCCGTATACAACGGTGATTTCCGAAAGCGTTGAAAGAGAACATAGCATTTTCAAGGAAATAAATCTTCCATGGAGGAGAGTGGCACAATTACCTATGCCGTGATCAGTACCCCTCAGAAAATATGAACCAATAGGATATTTGGAGAAAGTATTAGGTGTGGTGTATGCTCATCCAATTGTAGTATTCGATTATTTGTGCGATAAGTTGTACGAGCCTATTTGGTGGACATTTCACCGTGGGACACTGTTTGCTGACAAATATTAGTCATTTTTCCAGCCAACTTTGCAATTTGACTTCTGCGATTTGATCATCAACGGAGGTGAGAGGTTCAACAATTCAATGAGTAACTGAACACCGAGGCGTGATATGTTTGCGGACGAAAAGGAATCATCATCCCACAAAACGCAGTTTAGAATCAGGTTTTGCTTTTCTCCCCTACAAATCAAGATAATAGTATCATATGAGTAATGGAGGATTTGTTTCAATTTCAAAGGGGATATTCGTCTTGTATATAGCAAATGAAGCGTGAACTGAAAAGCTAGGAAGCAGTGGACAGCTGTTTCCACCTAGTTGAGCGGGGTCCTTGGCCCGCAACAAGCTCAAAAAGATAGGTTGTGCTATATCGTGTAAATGGAAACCGAAAAACGGCCTGATCAGCTACCCGGTAGCTTAGTGGGTATCATGCTTGCGTTCTGCCTGGGTTCGATCCCCAGATGGGACTATGGATTCGCACTGCTGATGAGACCCAACCAGGTCGAAACAACTGTCCATTGCTTTCTAGTTTTTTTTCAGTTCATGCTTCATTTGCTCTCTATACACGAAAAATTTCCCCTTTGAAAATAACAGTATCACTTTGGACATACTAGATAGTAGCGATTGTTAGTAGATAGGTATGAGAAAGCATAAATCGACTGGACAGACAAAGGTACAAAGTGGATGTGTCACTCACTGTTGTCTTTGCTCCTCTTTGGAGAAGAGGACACGAACCAGCACGGTGGGGTCCATCGAGACAATGTTCAGTAGATGATCGCGACCTGAGATTGATAGCGAAAAGGATAAGAGGTGAGGGAGGGTGGGTGGGAGCGTTGAGGGAGAAAAATAGCCGCCCGTGATTTTTCTCATCTGCAGCTGTGAACTTCCAATCATTCTGATGCACTACATGTAGTGATGTTTGTGTCTGAATGGAGACAAGGGCTATTCGCCATCCCTCCCAGTTAATATCAGTGTGCACCTGACAGTCTGAGACCAAACTGTGTGCCAAGCAAATCACAGTACAATAATCTTTTTTTTTTAAAGTTTTGCG